GACATACAGAGAAGCAGAGTCACAGAGATGGAGAGAGAGAGAGAGAGAGAGAGAGAGAGAGAGAGAGAGAGAGAGAGAAACATACCCAACACAATTTTAAGCAATAGGAGGCTATTCTGCTCCCAGTTAAGATAGTGAGTCTCCAGGGTATTAACAACACCAGGCAAGGACCTTCATGCTGGGTTATACCTGTGTAACATACTGGGTCATACCTGTTCAATGTGCTGGGTCATACCTGTTTAATGTGCTGGGTCATACCTGTTCAATGTGATGGGTCATACCTGTGCACCATGCTGTGTTATATCTGTGCAGTGTGCTGGGTCATAATTGTGCTTCATGCTGAGTCATACCTGTTCAATGTGCTGAATTATACTAGCACAATGTGCTGGGTCATACCTGTGCAGTGTGCTGGTCATACCTGAACAGTGTGCTGGTCATACCTGTGCACTGTGCTGGGTCATACCTGTGCAATATGCTAGGTCATACCTGCACAATGTCAAATGTGAGGCAGAGACACAGAGCTTTTATAACAAAGCCATTCCCACAGTGAGCCCTTGTGATCTAGTTACCTTTAAAATCACACCTTCCGATAACAAGACAGGGCAATTAAATTTTAACACAGGCTTTGAAAGGAACCGTCAAGCCATAGCAGACCTCTTATTTAGAAAGTATTCCTCAAGTCTGTAACTCCTGACTGCAGCAGGACATAGTAACAAGCATAGGCCTAGTGGTGGGTGAGGGTGGAATCCGCATTACCACTTGCCTTCTGTGGGCTCTAGGTCATGTCTCCCCTTATACACCATAAGAGAACACAGCAAGCACGGAGATGTCGGCAGTTAGCTGGTGAATATAGACCCAGTGAGTAGAGTCCCTAGAACGAAGAAACGTCAGACCCTGGCGCACACACGGGAGATTAAAGTGCTTTCTCGCTAATGGAACATGACAGCAAATGGCAAACCCGAGAATAATCAGGACTGTTTCTTAACATGGGGAGTTGAATGCCTGATTTGCCACAGAACAATGAAAATTTGTGCGTGCCCAGAAACAACAGAAATGTCTTTTTTTTTCCCATATTGTAGTCCTGTAAAAGCCAGCAGGTCTTTCTTCTCCCCTTGTAGGCATTCAGAGACCAGTGGTTCTGAGCCTTGCTGGTGCTCTCTCTGTGGGTCCTTAGAATCCCTTTCACTTAGGGAAGGGGGGCAGAGAGCAGCAGCCCTGCATGGGGCCTCACAAGTCGAGACTGGACAGCGTTCCATGCTCACGCTCTTCTCCAGCCTCCCATGTTTCTCTCATCTGCACTCAGTTATATGGCCACACCTCCTCACAGAGGGAACTGACAGTGATGAATGCAGCTGTCTCCGCCACCCAAGACTCGTGGCCACACAATCAAGAGCCCAGCCCTAAGCTCTGTTTTAGAGAAGCCTTCCCCTGCCCCGCCCTTTTCATGTTCCTACGTGCTCCCATTTTGGACAGAAATGTGTCAGTGGCCTGTAACATTCAGGCCACACCGAGTACACAGCTCTGAGACACAGAAACCACACTCAGAAGACGCCCCTGCCTCAGTATGTGTGTGTCAAGAGCCCAGCATTGTTTTACTAAATCAACGCTGAGAAACTTCCCCTTTATCAAAACATAGGCAACACAGTCTAAAGCAATCCATGGGTGGGTTTTCCTGTGCTAGCAATTCTTCCGTCTCTGTTTCAGAGCCTTCATGTTGTGGACTGCTATGCCTGTTCCCAGGCCCGCTGCTGTTTCTGTTCCCAGCATTTGCAGAGTACTTAGAGAAGGGAGATTGCTTCTTCATAACTATAATTTTGCTACTGTTGTGAACCATAATGTAAATATCTGATGGGCAGAATATCTGATATGTGATCCCACAGGTTGAGAACCACTGCTCTAAAGAGACAAGCCTGGGCGTGTTATTTGCTCCTTTTTGGAGAAACCCATTATATCCTGCCCTCGGTTCACACTGATGTATGTGAGGAGTGATGGGTGTCCAAGCATCCTGGACACAAAGTGAGCCGTCATCCTGATGTATATGGAAGTTCTGTGAGGGGCCGCGGGTGTCCAAGAACACAGGAGAAGGGGTAAGCTGATCTCCAAGTTCCCTTATGATCCTGTCCACTGGGGACACCCAGAGAGGCCGTCTGGAGTTTGTAGGAGGCTCATCGGTGTGAGTGTCTCTGAAGTCAATTCAAAACCAGGAGGTGACACTCTTTAGTTTTCTCTGTTCAGAAGCAGAAGACTCTTGGGGGCGGCTCCACATCTTATCTGCAGTGGCAGTGAACAGCCCCAGGAAAGTCATCTTCTACTGATGCTTGAAGAAGGGCCAGACGCTGAATGGCAAAGCATGACAAGCATCTGCTTACTAGGAACAACATAGCAAATAGAGGGCTATTGGGGAGCAGGCACACTGGTGATTTATGATGCCCCAGTCAGAGTGTGTGCAAGGAGAGCCCTTGAGTGTTATCAGTTTTTCCATCCATTCTCACAACCTGATAGGATGTTGCTGTCCTGTTTCTGATTGTCCCGACTGTGCCATGACCAACTGTGACTGTACCATGAAAACACACCTGCAAGTGGCAGCTCCCCTACTAAATGTCTGCACTAAACCACAATTTAATGCCGTGTGTTAATAGTCTCTATGATAAATGTCCGCAGAAAAGCACCCTTTGCAGACTCTTATTGAAGATACCGCCCATTTTTTGGCTTCAGAGCGTATATTCTTATGATTAACAAAAACCCCAGAAGGAAATTTAATCTTTTTGAAAGATGAGGGTTTCCCCTATTATTGGGATAAGGGCTCTATCTAAGTTTATTTATTTCCTTCTCCTTTCTTTGGGTTGCTATCAGGAACTTGGGCTTAACTGCATACTTAATCACTGTCGCTGACTCACCTGGCTTTATCTCCATATTTCTCTGTCTTGTTTCCACTAACACCCCAAACAAAGAAGAGCTCCTCTGTGGAGAGATTTGCCTCATCAATCCTGGGGGACAGCTAAGGTCTCAGAGGTGTGGTTGTGTTTCATAAAGTCATCTAAACCCAAATGGAGAAGCGTGATCCTCTCCGTGAAGCCCTTGGAGTCTGTCTCTTTTCTGTATGTGATGTTTGAACTAGTTTTCCTCTTGATTTTAATCTTCATATAGGGATAGATTAATTTTTATTTCAAGATACTAAAATTTCCTTTGGAAGAAGAAAAATTATAAATTATAAATGGTCATGAATTATAAATATTTGGCCTCGAGATTTAAGCAACCATGTTATCTCCCTAGGACAGGCATTAGAGTCATCACCAAACCGAAGTGGCTATGGAGGAGTGCCAGCATGCAGTAAGATGGCACCCTGCAGTCAGATGCTGCCAACATCATAGACAAATCATTTGTACTTCAGATGGATGGCACTTGGGACCAGTGACCTGAACAAGTACAGAGAGAAAGCAAAAGAAATTGTAATTATTTTTAACTTTCTTCTCTGTAAAGAAAGCAGAAACTGGGTTTCGTTCCCTTCAAATTGAGCAAACACAGACATCTTCTGAGACCCATAGAAGAATGTGGGCCACAGGTGAATTGCACCTCTAGATGCCTCTGAGCACCGTGTCAACTCCCGCAACTAGATGGAATGGTTCCGGCCTCCCCACAGTTAGGAAACCTTTTTCTCTGGTTGATCTCAGATTCCTTGACGCTGAGCCAGAGCAGTTCCAGACTATAACAGCAGTGCGGGGATGATAGAGAGAGAGAGAGAGAGAGAGAGAGAGAGAGAGAGAGAGAGAGAGGAAGGAGGAGGAGGAGGAGGAGGAACCAGAGGAGAAAACAGTTTTCACTGGCAGTGTCTGAGTTAGGCAAAGTGGAGAACGGTGAAAAACACATGCTTGGACTGAGTTTTTGAAAAGTGTGCAGGCTGGGAAGAACTACCCCAGGTCAGAAGTTCAGCATTGCTTCTGGAAAGGTCCCTGAGAATGTGCAGTGTGGATTAAAGATTGGAAAGTTGATATGAAGGAATGAAGTCAAGAAGCCGATAAAGAGGTCGAGTGAGAGACAAGGTGGGGTGCAGGTCTTGGGCTAGGGTCATGGTGGTTGCTCAAGTTCGAGTGGAGAACGAACTGGGTTTTATGGAGTACCTACTTTGTGCTCGACTTTCCCCTGTTAATTGCTCGTGACCAGCCTGACATTAGGCGGGATTATCCCAGGTTCTTGGTAAGCAGAGAGACATTACTTTCAAAAATGCTATCAGCTGTGACAGTGGGGATCTTAATTCAGCACCTTCCAGCTCCAAACCAAGATCTTTCCATCTGGACTTCTGAGGATCAGTGAGGGAAAATGGGATTTGTTTTTAAAGCCGATGTCTTTTCACAAAGGAAAAGACAACATCTGGAGACTTTGGGCTTTTTGCTCTCAACTTAAGAACTGAAATGGTATCAGATGAAGCAAAAAGAGAGAGAGAGAGAGAGACATAAAAGTTTGTGGGAGGGATCACAAAAACTTAACTTTTGTTGAGACTTTTTTTTCCCAAGAAACTTCTTATAAGCCCTGGCTTTTGTTATCACCCTGAACATCTTATCTGGGAAATGTGGTTGACTGCCATCCTCATTCAGCAGAGGCTTATTGGGAAGACGAAGATACTCCCTGAACCTGAGCAGGGGACGCTGCACACAGCACGAGGACTATGCACACAGCCGGGTCGTACCAACATGGCAAATCCAGAGACACACACAGTCCTGTGGAACCACCCACTTGTACCCGCATCCCACCCCTGCTCCTGCCCATCCCCCATTGTCAAGGAAAAGGTCAAGTGACTTTATGGAACAGGGAAGGAGGAGGTGGGAAAGGTCAGGGAGGCAGGCAGAGAAAGCCAGTACAAACTGTATAAGAGACATGACCACTGAGTGAACAAAGGCCTGCCATCCTCCCAGGTCTCTGAGGAGGAAACGGGCAGCGTGAGGTGCTATGTAATAACTGATCTCTGTCCCCAGTGGTCAAAGTTCTCTTGCTCCTGGCTAGCTTTTCAGCTGCAAGTCTACACACGCATCAGAATGTCCAGCAGATTCCTACGTGCTTCGTGTGGTGATGGCAGCAAAAATCAAGAGACACGTGCAGTGAGGGAAAAGGTCAGGAGGGTTACCTCACTCGTGGCCTGAGGGAGAACTCAAGCCTGGGACGACACAAAGGGTACAAGGTGGTACCAGCAGCAGCTGCAGGCGGAGGGTTTGAACTGAGTCTGACTGCTCTGGAGACGGCTGTTACGAAAGATTAGATAGTCTGACTGCCGCACAGAGGGCTGTGGGGGCAGCTCAGTCAGCCTGGTGGCCCCAGAGAGGGCTGTGGGGGCAGCTCGCCCAGCCTTTCTAAATGATGATGACAATGCTGGTCCGGGGACTACATTTTGAGAATTGTTCGCCTGCCAGAGGTTTCAATCTGCAAAGGGAAGAGCCGTCACTATGAGCAAACTGGGTAAGAGACAATAAAGCCGGTTTAAGAGACTCTGCATGGAGAAAGAAACGTGATGGGCTTCTCAGCATCCAGTTGGGAAACCGGGAGGCTCCCCAAGATCTCAGAGAGCTGGAAATGAAGCTTCCCTGCAGCATCAGAGAGAAGGAGGGTGAAATCACAAGTACAGTCACAGCTATGCCGTTGGGTCAGTAGTGCCCCGGATAAGCTCTCATGTTCGTTTGTGTTTGTTTTGCTTGTTTGGGGGTTTTTATTTTCCTATGTTTGATGACTACCTAGTAAAGACAAGACTGAAGAAAGTCCCTTCCTACTCCCAGAGAGATTACAGTCTGATGAAGATGAGAAGCAAGAAAACAATTAAATGTAAAACCATCTGATAAACCTTTAGAGAAAATAAAACTGTAATAACGTAGGACAGGAAGCAAAGCTTTGCTTCAGAAAACTGACAAAGGCTTTCAGGAAGAGGTGTAATTAAACTGACGCACAGGATAGAAGGATCTGCCAAGCAAAGAAGAGAAGAAAGAACATGCAGGGCAGAGGGAGCTCCATGTAAGAAATCACAAAGGGACTGGAACATTTGGAGGGCATTGCACCCCATCTCCTTGGAGGGTACCGCCCACTGACTTGCTCTAGGCATCAACGGAACTAGTCTGTAAGGTTTTCATGTGTCAGCAGGAGGGTTGACCTTTGTCTCATAATCAACAGAGAGATGGGGAGAGTCAGAACAAACTCTGGCACACGTAGGCCTATTTTTGAAGATTTGCAGTCTAGGCAAACTTCTAGATGAAATAAGAAAAGCTGATTGAGAAAAGAGAGCATTAAGGATTTGGAAAGGAAAACTGAAAGAGTAACCACAACCAGAAGACACTTCCTGCTGACTACAGCAGACCAAGACTCAAAGATCCGAACACAGCCCGGAGTGGCTGTAATGCCGGATATTCCAGAGGCTGAAGTAGGAGAGCTCACATTCTAAAATAACCCGAGCAACTTAGTGAGACTTGGTCTCAGAATTAAAATAAAGGGCTGAGAATGTAGCTTTGTGGTAGAGTACTTGCCTAACAGAAGGTCCTGTATTACATACTGAGACAAAAAAATTCAGAATCAGAAATCAACATTCCAAGTGGATATGGATATAATACATGGGACAGAGGAGTTAGTTTACCCCGAAAGTTCTTCCCTAGGATGTGTGACTCCCTTGTCTGGCTGTAATGCTTTCTGGTCTTCCCATAATGCTTAGAGTTTGCTCGTTTTGTTAGTTAGCATCATCCTACATAGCAGCACCGCAGGGAGGCTAAGGCAAGGCTAGTGTTCTTCACACTGGTGTCGATAGACTAACAAGTGTCTCAAGGTCACAGACATTTATAGATTCTTCAAAATATGCACCGGGACCCCCTAAGCCTTCCCTGCCTCCCAACTTCCTAGCCACGGAATCACTTTTTTACTGACCGTCTTAGAAATTGTGTTCCGTTGAGCACTCCCCGGAAATGCCAATTTAGGGGGCATCCCCTTTGATAGTAGATAACATAGCAGATCTGAAATGATAGGAAGGCCTCTTTCTATGAAGAGTTCATGGGGAAGAGTGGACAGACATGGCCTCAGGGGTGGTCAGAACTGAAGCAGAAGAACCCTCTTTCTGCATTAATCCTGCCCAAGATTTATGGAAAATAGGCCAGCAGCATTGGGCTTTTCGTGTTCATCTGTGAGTACCAAACAACAATGCTTACTTTGCAGGCGTATAGAGGAATCACTGGTAAACCTATGGAATATGTCAGCTGCTGCTTTTATACTGGGAGGATTTAATGTATACAGTGCTACCTTTCTTGTTCTGACTCTTGGCCTGTGCTGTGCCCTGGTGCTTTGAATGCACACTGGTTGCTTCCCATCTTCACATCGTGTTGCTTCTGCCCTTGCCCGTCGTTGGCATTGCTGCTGGGGGGATTGCCTTTGACTTTCTGTACAGAATGGCCAGCTTACTGGAAGAAGGCCAAACAGCCTCTGGTGTGGGGGCCTAGACCTGGTGGTTTCAGTGTCAGGTATTATTGCAAGTAGAGAGTTTGCATTTGCAGAATCACAAACCATAGCTAGAATCTGGGGTTCTGAACCACAAGCTATTTCTGTACAATTCCATGGCTCCAGATTCAGTTTTTGTTTTGCTCCGCAGGGCGACACAGAAGGCTAAATCACATGCCTCTCAGGAAAAGACGACTGTCGTGACCTCTTCAGGCTCCAGTTGAAAATGATTAACAAGCTATCAGCATGTGTCCTCGGGCAAGAAGGCAGATGTCTGTGCCAGCCCAACTGAAACCCAGAGCTTGGCCTAGGTGGACTCTGCTCTCCGTTATCAGACTCTAAGCCAGGGCTGGAGAGGTGGCTCAGCAGTTAAGAGCACTTGCTGCTCTTGCAGGTACTCCAGTTCAATTCCCAGTCCTCATATGGAGACTCACAACCATCTGTAATTCCAGTTCCAGGGGATCCCATGTCCTCTTCTGATTTCTCTGTAGGGTCTTGCACACACGCAGTACATATACATACACTTAGACACACACACACACACATACACATAAAATTTTTTTTAAAGAATCTAAGCCAGTGAGCTTTTACTGAAGCATCATATAATATTAGTAGCTAATACCTTCTGTTCAAATATCAACATCTCCTTTTTCTGTTTTTTTTTTGTTTGTTTTTGAGACGCGGTCTTATTTTATAGCCCAGGCTGACCTAGAACTTGTGATAATACCCCTGAGTGCTGAGATTACAGGCATAAGTCACCGTGTATGACCTTCAAATGTCACCACCTAATATCAGCTTTTAATCAAATTTCTGATATCCCAAAGTAAGATGGATTTTTTTAATGTAATGGCATTATCACTTGTTATCAAAATGAACAAATTTTAAGCATGTGCTTTTTCAGTTTTCTGTTTAAAAACATCCGTAGCGACCCATTGTTTACTGAATTAACAACATTCTTCTTACTGTGCTGTGTAAGGCTCCCTGTGGGCACCATGAAGTGAAGGGGAACTAAATTCTGTTTTGGAACAGTGCTTTTTAAACTTGAATACACACATGGATGACCTGGCACCCTGGATAAAGTGTGGTTCTTACTCAGTTGTTCAGAACGAGGCCATGGCCAGACTTCCAGCCATGAGGAAGTGAAGAAGCACTATAAACTTTAAACCTGAGTAGGGTAGAAACAAGAAGGGCTTTGGTGGGAAACAGAGCCTGTGATGTGGCACCCTAGAGAGATCTCCATTGCACTTTCTGTTCAAAAGCAAGACTCAGAGAAATTTGGGGGGCTCGAGCAGCTCTCTTGCTCTGGTGGTCTTGGTTCTGTCTGCCTGGCTGCTTTACACCAAGTGTAAAATGGGTCCCTGGAACTAAGAGTCTAACCATGTTCTGCACAGTCCTAGGGCTGTGCTGGGAAAGGGGCAGTCTGTGTCTTGATTTTCCCAGACTTTATGAAAGGAGGTCTTCATTTCTATATTGAAATTGTAGTGATAGTAAGTAAGGGTTTGGCTGTAAGTTACAAAGTTCAGTAAGAAACAATTCCCATGTGCGTTACACTTGGCGCAAGATTCCAGAATCCCCATGCATTCTGCAGATGACTTACTGAAGGTGACACGGTGAGTAGGTGATCAGGTCCCTACATGGGTGATCCTGTGTGGATCACAGTGCCTCAGATGCAAAGCATGCAAAGCACTCAGTTGAACTGACATCATTAAAACCTTCCTCGGGCCACCAGTTTTAGCCAGATCTTTATATAAGTGTACACCATGGCTGTTTGTTATTTGCTATTGAATGTTTACTATTTCACTTCTCTTCGTAGTTTTGAGAGTATGAGGCTCAGATTACAGAAGATGCATTTGTGTGATTTCAAGCACTAAGGACAGATTTGAAGTGTTCTTATTTGGTGTTCAGAACAAACTGTTCCGAACGTTGATGTTCCTGGCTCCATTGTTCCTTCTAGGGTTTTGCTCGGCTATTTGAGTCATTTTCATTTTAATCAAGCCGTGGCTTGAAACTATGCTAGCTCACAACAGGCGCTAGAATTGATCTCGCTTTGGCTTATACATAGTTGATCTCCATTTTAAAATACAGTCCTTGGTTTGTTTTCTTCCTGGCTACTGTGAAGGTAAAACAATGACAGGTTTTAGTGTTAAATTAATCAGGTTAAATCGTTACTTGCTTACTTCTTTCAGTGTGAGTCAAAAGTTAATAAAACGGGACTGTTTTCTTGCTGAATGCTTGGGTGTAATATTTAACTTCTGGGGCCAAGTCCATGAGGAAATTTATCCCATTGTGTGGCATTAAATAAACACAGCTGCTTTGAGTGTTGGCCTCCACTATCACAATTCTAAATGAAGCTATATGAAGAAGTCTAGATCTTCAACTGCTTTCTACACTCTTGATTAGTGGGCATCTAGGGTGTGCCTGGGAGACGTCATCCTTTAGCGTTAATAACATCTAGCTCAGAAGGTGAAACTTTTTCAAGGGCAGGTTTGGGATTACAACCTCAAACAATGAAATGGTCCCAGTTGACTGGAAAATAGAAGAACGTATGTCTTCACAACTTAAAAATTCTGAAATGTATTCTGGGGGCCATCCGCATCCCAGTCTCCCATGAAGCTCGTCTACAAACCCAATTCCTGGACCATATGTGTAGCCTTATTATTGCCTGTAGAATTCAAGACCTCAGAGTCTCTGCTTCTAGTACAGTGCCTAGGGGGTTTCCGTGCACAGGGACACTTCAGAATTTCTGTCTAGACAAATGAGAAACCAACCACTAAGAAGCACAATCTGCGTAGTTCTATGACCTTGTTCAATCCTGATCTGTAGAGATGCGTCTACAAAATGGTTCAGAGAGCTCATCCGGCAGCACTGCCGACCCAGCTGAAGCTGGAGGCTATACAACCATCACCGCCTCAATCCATAGTCATATCATTTTATTTCTGCCGCTGAACACAAGTTCTAGCATTGAGTCCACACTCCACTCCCAACCCCTGTTAGATAATTTAAATGCTTGGGTTCTGTAGCTAGGAGGTTGACCAGCAGGCACACAGTTAGACTGATCTGGGCATATGCAAGAGGGCGAAGGTATACTGACACGGCTGATGACCAAAGGTCTCAGAGAAGAAGAGATGAAAGTGAGGTCTGATAGTGTAGGGAAGGAAGTCAAGGGCATCAGCAGAAACCAGGGTCCTCCCCACTCGGCAACAGGTAGAAATGGAATGTGAGTAGCTTTCACGAGAGATTCCCTGTACTGGCATCTGAAGCATTCACAGACTCATGCACAGTTCGAAAACACATGCTATTTTGTTGGCATGCACAGTTGGTGAGGTGATGTTAGAGGTGTGGAGGGCAGGAGAAAGGGAGAGAATGGGAATCTGCACACGTGGGAAGGTAAATGAGCTGGAGACAGGGGTTACATAGATGTGCAACACCGCAGCCCCCATTCTCACTAGAGTGAGCATGCGGCATGGCCTGGCATACTTACACTTACCCCTTTCTAGTTCCACAGAAGTGAATGCTGACCCCCTTGGGTCATCCTGGGATAACGGATGCCCAGGCAGATTGGATGCCTCCAATCCACTTGTTAGGCTCTGACACCTTTTCATAGATTTTTTCAGAGGTTAATCTTTTTGGGGGAAAGTCCCTTAAATTCACATTTTAGTAACAAATACATATTCTGTTTGCATGGTGAATTTTCTGCTGCATTACTAAATGACAACTGTTTGGTGTTTTTCTTTTATTGGTGACGTTCTGATTTTTAGCTTACTAGTCATTTACTTCTAGATAATTGCTACCATTGTTAACTTTCTGGCACAAGCTGAAAAATAACGAGTATTTATTATAACAACATGCTTGACAATAGAAATATTATATCCCTTTCACCTGCAGGTGGAAGAAAACAGCGAAGTAAGTTCATTCAGTTAGGCTTGATTGCACAGAACTAACTCCATTTAAAGCCCGGGCACGTGAACCAGCGCTCCGTGTCATGGTGAGACAGTCTTACCAAGGCAGCTGTCTTGGCCAGGCAGCTTCTTCTCAATCAAAACATTCAGGCCCTGAACACATTTTAAAACTGCCAAGAGGACACACAGGGATGTCTGTATTTCTCTAATAGCCTTTATTTAGCCAGGAGACTCTGCTATCTGTATTTGTTGTGATGGCTTTATTAGTTTGTCAGTCATCACTTCTCAGCACCTCCTGAGTGTCTTCATTGCGCTATGCTAGTCAACGTAGTCCAGGCTCTTCCCTGGCCATAAATATTCTAGCTGCCCCCCCCCAAACAGCATTAATATAGCAAACGTTTGTTTCCTGCTTATATACGGACTATCCTATCCAGTCTGTTGTGCGGTCTCTAAGATCGCCCCACATGGAGAGAGTTCTCAAGAGGAGTTTGAAGGATATATTTGGCTAACACTTTTATCTAGAGCTTGCGAACCAGAATTCAGTAAGCAACCTTAGTGGCTAAATATCTAGGAAGCAAGAAAATGTGGCTGGAGAGCTCCAGCTGTCTCTAAACACTGTCTAGCAATGAGAAAGGACACAAAGACTGAGCAACTCTTGGCCTTTGGAGATTTGAACCTATTAGGGTTGTAGAAAGGAAGACAACTGGCGATCACCAAATACCTCTCAAATTCATTTTTATAAGGGGGGATTGTGTGGTTCACCCAGCAATTATTGCACAGCCACTGTTTCCTGAGGTCTGACCCCTGCATTGTGTGCCGAGCACATATAATTCTCAATACCACTTTTCAAGGAAAAACAAAAGACGAGCAGAGGTGTGTAGCCACTCAGACGCAGTAATGGGCAAAATAGAAATATTAGCTTCCTAGATCTGCTGTGACAAAGTTCCCTAGCTTGTGTGGCTTCATAACAAAGTGATTCTGCCCCAGTTCTGGAGATTAAAACTCTGAAAACCCTGTCAACAGGATCGCATTCCCTCTGGGCAGACTCTTTCTTTCCCTTGTCCTCAGTTCTAAGGTAGCCATCAATCCTTGACATTCCTTGGCTAAAGGATACAGACTCCCACATCTGCTTCTCTTCAACTCTGTGTGTCTCTCATGCCGTTTTTCTCTTATAAAGATAAGTCATACTGGATTAAGGCCTGCTATTGTGACATCATCTTAGCCCGATTCTACATGCAACGAACTTCTATCCAAAGAAGGTCACATTGGCAGGGATCATGGATTAGGACCTCAGAGTCTGTTGGCAGAGTATAACTGCACCTGTGAAAGAAGTGATTTCAGGATATTAGGAAAAGTCATAGGAGCAATATTCAGGCTAGATAAACCTAGGGAGATAGGGTCTAAGCTAAGTCCTCCTACCCCAGCAGTGAACAGGTGAAGTAAAAACTCAGAAATAGGCATTCCGGACAGTCACCAGCAAGTGCAAGGACCCAGT